GGCCCAGCCCAAGGGAGGTAAGGCACCCGCCGGAAAAGGAAAAAAAGAATGGCGGACAGCCTTGCTTGGCGACCCCCGTGAAATGGTTGATCGACCCTAAATGGGGTTACGACCCATAGGTTGAGAACCGCTGATTTATATAGAGAATAGATATCATCACAACACCGATCATGCTTGCTAACATTAATGTGACATTAATTAGTTTCCTGTGTTGCCCTATAAACAGAATAAGAGAAAGAAATGTGGAAACTAAGTGATATGGACCACAAAAGAAAATATTATACCACAAAAGCTAAATTGTTTAAAAATAATACCCTTTATCTAAATAATCCTATTTGGGAAACAACATTTATCCTAAAATGGAACCAGGAAAAGCTCTTTTAAAATTCTTCAGACAAGCCTCCACCATGTCTTCATCTCCAAATATATTAAAGTTCAAGATGTGGTGATGAAGTCACCAAGTTAAAAAACCGGAGATCATCCTATCTTAGCCACAAAGCCAGCTGGGTGACCTTGGGCCAGCCATTCTCTCTCAGTCCTAAGAAGCAGGCAAGAGTAAATCACTTCCAAAAAAAGTGGTTTGTAATTTTCTTCTGGCCAAGAAAATTGCAAAGACTAGTTCAGACAGTCACCAGGAGTAAAAAAACAACAATCTGCACACAAAAAAAGTAGTCTTTTGCTATTCTTGATAAGGGTTACGGATATTGCAGTACAACAATATGAAGGACATATAGTTGGGAAGAGCTATTTTAGATAACATGACTATATTTTTAAAAAAATTCACTGAGTCTACACCACTCCTTTTTTTTATTAGGGCACAGTACTGCCAAAAGGAAAAGCAGTTTTAGAAACAGAAAGTCTGTTCTTTTCATTTCATGTAACCTACAAATTCCAGCAGGCTGGTGTTTTATTGATGATTGATTATTCTCTAGAGCTTTTTATGAAGTAACTAAATATTTAATGATTTTTTTAAAAAAACCAACAATTGTTGGGGAAGTTGACGTAAAGCTTGTGTTGGAAGAATCAAATTGCACCAGAGTTTAAACTGATTAAATGAATATTTCAAAGTAATAAAATTACTGTGCAATTTTAAGAAAATGTAGCTCTAATAAGAGTTCCAAAAATAACTATAATGTGTGGATAAGATATTCCATCATGAAAGATAAATGTTGACATTTTAGTTGCTTTAAATTGCTACTGTGACAGTATAATACAATTGGTTTATGGTATCAGTGACCGAAAAATAGGGGAAACACAGATTTCCTCCTTGTGTCATAGAGTTTTTTTTCTAAAGAATTTAATTTTTAGGTTTACATTCTATTTTACACCTTAATTCATTTTCCGCATCTACTTTCCCTGCAGAAGTCCTAAAAACTTCCATTAATTGATATTCTTAATGCCTTGACATACTGTATGTAACAACTTTTCCAAGAATTCCAGATTTCACTGAATAGTTCCCAAGAACATTCTGGACAGTTTATCTAAAATAATAAAATGATTATTTTAGTGCCAGAATATTTTAACTATATTGGGGACCTTACTGATTTAGAATATGAATCCGCCTAATTTACAATACCTTCCAAATATAATTTTATTCAGCTGCTACACAGTATGATGCAGAATGTAAAATGATGCTGTATATTATTGGAGACTATAACTAATTTTTGTTTCTTTTTTTCTTAGCTGACTGTGGCTGATACTCAACCTTAAGATACACATAGCTGGCTATTAAGACATCTCTGAAGGCTGAACTAGGAAGTTGTGGAAGGGGAACCACTAAAGGCAGCAACGCAAATCACTTATATATCAAGAAAATACAAAGAGATGTCCATGAAGTCACCAGGTGTCCAACCTAACAGAGATTTTTATCTCTCCTTGCTAATAAAACTTGCTACAGCTGTTCATTTTACAGGGAAATGAAGATATCCTATGCTCCAGGCCTATTTACAACATTCTTAGGGCACCAATGAGGATAGTGAACATGTACCTAAGGAAATCTTTTTCTTGATCATATGGTTTATTGGAATATATCCCTTATGGAGAGTGATAATTAGTATATGCCTAAGGTCTATAAAAACAAAGCATAAAATAAATTCATCTTCTGCTCACACTGGAACATTCTTGGATCATTAAAACATCTTATATTGTACTTATACTGAATAATAAATTCAATAACTCTGGAATATATGTCAATTATGAGAGAAGAAAAAGGGTTGAAGTATTCATGCATCCTGATTCCAGATGTCATGGATTTTCTTTTATGAAAGAAAACTGGGAAATATTTTTGCCAAATAACATGAGATCCAATCCAGCCACAGTTAGAACTTAATTTTCTTCTCCTGGTGATATCTAAGAGACTTCAGAATGCTAAATTATGCACATGGTTACTGAAATATTAAAAAAAAACATTTGTATCTTCAAGGCAGAAGTAGATGTCATGTTCAACACAGACTGGAGCTGAAAAATAGTAGTATCCTGTCAATTCTAACCCTTCTCCATCTCCCAATAGCATTTTAAGTCTATTTATTTGCATTGTGGACATTATTATATTATCCTCAACATAAACTAGCAATAGCAATAGCACCTAGACTTGTGTACTACCCCATTGTGTATTCTCTGGGTGGTTTACAATGTCAGCATATTGCCCCCAACAATCTGAGTCCTCATTTTTACCAATTACAGAAGGATGAAACTGAGTCAACCCTGAACCCCTTCAGGATCGAATTGCTGGCAGTTGGCAGAGTTTGCCTGCAATGCTGCATTCTAACCATTGCGCCACCCAGGACTTCTTAAAAGGATGTTGTAGCATAATTTGAGAAGTACGCTAGCAACTGTAGGTGAACATTTTGGAATGTTCACCTACACTTGCTAGCGTACTTCTCAAACATAGAACTTTTGCTTTCTAGATCTCTTAGACATAATATATATTTCTACCTTCAGAAAGATTTTGTCAGGTTGCCACAGATGTGACAAGAAAACTGCAAGTAAATTGTTAAGAGAAAGTGTACTTCTAATTTATATTTTATGTATGTAGCAATATGTGTTTCTACAATATTTGAACTTGTAATGTTTGTCCATGTCCCTGATGTACAGTGCAAAAGGTAGAATGGAAGTTAAAAATGATGACATAATAAACCCAAGGAATCCAAGGAAGAGGGGTGACTATTAGGATTGTGTACAGCTTTAAAGGGTGATTCCATTCAAAAATCTCCAAGGTTATTCAAGGCACAGAAACAAGGTAGTGTCTTTAAGTGATTTCAGAGAGAGTCAATGGTCTTTCGGGCTTTGCAGAGACTCAAAGGTCGTGGAAGCTTTCCTTCCATATGTGGAGAAAACCAAAGGAACTGGGAGCTGGCTGGTGTGAGAGGCTGGCTGATACAAGTCAGTACCTCATTAGTTTTATTACTTCCACAATCCCTACCTGTCAAAGCATTGGGAAGTGTGTTGCCTTGCTGTTTGTGTCTCTCTCTTCTGACATAATTTCTTTAAGAACATAGTAGGGACGGAGAGCAGGAAGGAAGGAAAGAAAGAAGGGGAGGGAGATTTTCCAATTATTCTGCTGTTCTTCTTTAACAATGTTTTTCTTGTCTTTCCCCAAATCTCTGTTTACCTTTACTTTTATCTTTTTTATCTCTCACTCCACCGAGTCTTGTGTCCTACATCTAAATTGTCATTCTTCAATTCTTTCAGGTTCATCTTTCATTTCCCTTTGATTCTACCTACCCCAACAAATATACAATCCTTCTGCCTCCCTTCTGGTACCTCACTGTCTCTATCTTGCATTGCATTAAGTCTTCATTGCATGAATGAATCTAAGACTGCATAGCCATTGCTGAAAAATTGTAGACAATGCAGACTAAATCTTTATATCATACACCATTGTGACAACACCCTCTTCAGAGCATTATTCATTTAATTAATAAATTTACATGGCCACCCATCTCCTATATATATGTCTTTGGAAGACTAATAATTAAATCAGAGTAAAAATAATAAGAACAAAGAGAATTGAAAAAACAAAACAGGAAAAGCATAGGATAGCAGCAGAGAATACTCATAAACACTCAAACTAATCTTATATTGGGCTCACCCCATACTATCAGGGCCCTGGATTGATGACAAAGTCAGATTTTCAGTGACTTACAAAAGGCTAGCAATTTGTGTAAATTATTGTATAAATAGCCCAGAACATACCATCCTATTCTGAAGAAGAAGAAGAAGAAGAAGAAGAAGAAGAAGAAGAAGAAGAAGAAGAAGAAGAAGAAGAAGAAAGAAAGAAAGAAAGAAAGAAAGAAAGAAAGAAAGAGGAGGAGGAGGAGGAAGAAGAAGAAATAAAGAAAAAAACAGGAAGAATTGTAGGCATTTTTCTGTTTTCACATTAATATCTTATTGAATCTTTTATCAAATTGAATCACAAATCCTGAATTGATTAAATGGAAGCCCCTTGCCTTAGGAACTCAAATCCAAATCAGACCTTGCTATCTCTGAATTCTGAATTGCATCATGATCCACACAGGTGTGTTAAACCAAGAGAAAGCCATATATATTATCCTCTTTTGATAGTAGCAGATTCTCTTCTATTTCATCTCTTTGCCATGAAATTATATCTATCCTTGCCAAATGCCACCACAAATCCCATAGTCAGTTACAAGAGTTTTACATATAGATAAAGCATTAGTAAGGTTGTAGTTATCAGTCATAGTGAGAAACAAAACGAGCTGTGCTAATGAAGAATGTTTGGAGGGAGAGAATTTGTGCAGCTTCATTTCAGAACAAAGTAATTATTTCGTACAGCTGCATTTTACCCTTCTCTCCATTGGCTTCAAACACTTGGGAGCCTTTTTGGAGCTCATATGTTAGGCAAGCTTCTACATCTTAACTTATTCCTATCTTTTATAGCATGACAAAGTATTCAGAATGGCATTAGAGTGGAATGGATGAGCGAGATGGGTGATATAAAAATGATTTCAACTCGCACGTAATAAACCTTTAGTACTTACAGCTGTCCTCTTCTTCGGTGATACATTTCACAACATAACAGGCGTAGATGAATCCTGCCAGCTTAAACAAAATGGGACAATATTAGATGTGCAACAAAATGGTTAGTAGGCTTGGCAGTGGGCTGTTCCTACAAGACAAATGCTATCTTTGCCTCTCTCCCCCCATTTTGTTACGAAAATGGCAAATGCTGTATTTAAAACAATGATACATTTCTAGCAATAATAATCGGCACAGGTAGGTCAATCTGTAATGGTTGTCTGGGTCTACTGCAGTGGTGGATTTTTTTTCTTAATTTATGAACATATTTTTGTCACTCAGAAATAAATAGCAATAGCAATTGTACTTAGACTTATATACAGTGTCGCAGTGTTTTACTGTCCTGTCTAAGCAGTTTACAGAGTCAGAATATTGCCCTAACAATCTGGGTCCTCATTTTTCTGACTTTGGAAGGATGGAAGGCTGAGTCAACCTTGAGGTGGTGAGGATCGAACTGCCAAACTACTGGCAGCCGGCAGTCAGCAGAATTAGCCTGCAATACTGCATTCTAACTACTGCGCCACCACAGCTCTTTTAATATAATAATAAATTGTTATATTATAAATACATAATAAATAAATAGTAATAATAAATAAATAAGTAAATAAATAATAAATTGGCATATAAGAATGCCTGTAGCTGTTTCACTGAAAGCTTGCCACACAAGCAAAAGTCATGGTGTGTTTCTTACAACACTCTTACAAGTTATAAGATAGCCATTCAAATCTAAGGAAAAGAGGTGAATAAAACACTTTTTCGCTCCCTCTCATTTCAACAAACCATCCAGATGTGCATTCCAGAAGAGAAAAAGAAAGTGGCTTTAAAGAGACCTTTGCTTATAAATACAACAAAAATCTAGCACCAATAGAAGAGAATATATATATATAGGTCAGGGTTGAAGTGTGGCATCCTTGATGCTCTCTGAGCTTGACTGTTTGTTTTCAGATGTTTCATTATCTGATTAGGTAACATCTTCAGTGCTCTGCACTGCATCATCAGTGTGTTGAAGATCTTACCTAGACAGGTAATGAAATGTCTGCAAACAATTAACCAAGCACAGAGAGCACCAAGAACTCCACAAAAATTACTCAAACAAGAAGTGAAGGAGATGTTTTCAGATTGCTAGTCTTCTGTTCCACTAGAATTCGCAGCCCACTTTAAATAAATCTATAGGTCTGTTTACCTTAAAGAAATCTATATAATATTCAGAATGCTTCCCTGTGAGACATCTTTTTTTTACACTAGAACTTGCAGAAAGTAGCAGTATTCACCATTCCTGCTTTCAAGCTGGCTGTTAACAGAGCTGTTCAACTCCAGCAGTTCCAAGGCCATAAACTATTTTTTTAAAAATACGAAAATTAAGTAACTGATGTCGTAGTTGTCATTTGTCTAGTGGCCAGCAAAAAATCCCCAGCAAAATCCATGTATTGATATTGTACAAAATGTAAATAAGTGTCCCTTGACATGGCAACTACAAGGTTACCCTGCTCTACTTAGTAAATCTCCAGTGTAGAAGCTGCAGTAATAATCTAGGGCAGTGTTTTTCAAAATTGGCAGCTTCAAGATGTGTGATCTTCAACTTCCAGAATTCCCTCGACAGCATGCTGGGAGTTTACATCCACACATCTTAAAGTGGCCAAATTTGAAAAACACTGATCTAGTGACTTTTCTATAGGAATCCATGGATCTATGCAGTGGTGGGATTCAAATATGTGAACAACTGGTTCTCTGTGTGGATGCCGCTTCTGGAAGTCCATTCTAGGCCTGGGCAACAAAAATTAGCTACTGGTTCTGCCAAAGTGGTGCGAACTGGCTGAATCCCACCACTGGATCTATGGCATTAAACTGAAAGGTTGGGTGGGTGGAGGAATATTATGTATGCAAAGACCAGAAAGTTGACAAATCATGAAGAAGATGCTCAGTCTTGGAACTGTTCTGATTGCATAGTTGCATTTGGCCTGTGGTATGTTTTTTGTATTTGTTTACTTGTTTTTAACGGGCTGTAAGCCGCCCTGAGTCCGCAAGGAGAAGGGCGGGGTAGAAATCTAATAAAATCAAAATCAAATCAAAATCAAATCAAAGGGAAACACAATGGTTAAATGTAATACTATATGGGCAGTATTATGTGAAATTACTCCTATGGACATGCTGAGGTCACCAACAGGATTAGCTAGCCTATTTTTCCATTAGCCTTATAGCTTAAATCATGGAGTTTTTGTTTTCCTGGGCCACACTGAATGAAGAGGAATTGTCTTGGACTGCATATGAAATATATAACATATTTAATATAGATAAATAACAAATTTCCTTTATTTTTTATATATTTATATATTATTTTTATATATTGAATATAATTTTATATATTATGGGACCACATTACTACCTGTCCAGAATTGCATGCAGTCCATGGGCCACGGATTGGAAATGTCTAAAATATTTTTAAAGATTGTATTTTTTTTTTTAAAAAAAAAATCTGCTCCATTATTTCTTATTTGATGATCTAAGAGTGAGATGATTATATTTCTGTGTTAGTTTATCACAGTACACTTGGCAACCAAAGTTATGCCTTTAGCACTTCCCCCCCAAATGATATGTATTAAGTCTGCACTCTTCCTCCAATACTTCATCATTATTGGAACCAGTTTTGGAGTTCTGCTGGAAAGACACAAGAATTTAATGGCACATTTTGGAACTTGGCATTCAGGACAAAGAGAAGAGGAAAGAGCATATGTACAAGGAAAAAATGCAATGTTTTGGAAATTATCCCAGACTTTATTTGCCATTACAGTATTTTCATGTAAATCAGAGTTGGAGAACTATAGCCCCTTCATGACTTGTGGACTTCAATTCCCAGAATTTCCGAGACAGTTAGGAATTCTGGGAGTTGAAGTCCACAAGTCATAAAAAGGCCACCGTTCCCCATCCCTGAAGTAAATGAAAGGAAGGGAGTGATGAGAAAAGCTCGACTATAAAGTTTTGCTTTATATTTATTTATTTAAATTTGTATACCGCCCTATCTCCCTTACGGGACTCAGGGTGGTGAACAGGCGATAATAAAAATCACAATAAATATACTCAAATTTCTATTCTAAAATCAGATTAAATAAAGGCCTGCTCTAAAATACCCCATATAAAACCTTTCCTAAAACATAATTAAGGCTACGCCAGGCCGGCCGCATGAAACAGATGGGTTTTCAGGGCTCGGCGAAAAAGGCGCTGGTCCACAGTTGTACGTAGGTCGGGGGGTAGGTCATTCCAGAGGGCAGGAGCTGCCACAGAGAAGGCTCTCCCCCTGGGGGTCGCCAGCCGGCATATATTATCAAGAAAATGTTGTTCCTCACAACAAAAAAGATTCTACTGATCCTTCTTTCAGTGTTTGGTGTTCACAGAGATCAGAACTCATAGCCTAGGAAGTTATGTGATTTCAGGCACACCTATTTCTTTGTAGTAGAAACAGGTAATATTCATTAAGCTTCCATCATGAGGGGTCCATATTGACAATAGCTCAAAGCACCAGAATCTTGAATGTTCAAATGAACATTAGAAAATCAGGAGGTTGTTTTTTTTAAAACAAAAAACCCTTTAATGCTGAGAAGGTTTCTCAAGAACAAAAAAGGCAAGTATTTTGAGCTTCCCTTAAGATCAAGAAGAATCTTATACCTGCTCTTTTGAAGCTCCACTCATGCATCAGAACGACTAGATTTGGCTGATCATTTTAACAGTGGATGGTAGGAAAAATTATTTCTTCATAGGTCACCAGCTGAGCTCTGCAGAGCAGGAGTTCCCAACCAGCACACAAAGACTCTCTGCTGTGCTTTAGCACAGCTTGTCAAGCAGGCCTCCGAATGGAGCCAATTATAACTGTTCACTGAACCATCTCTTTTATTGCAATTTCCCAGCTGGTGATCAGCCCTAGATGGGTGTTCAGTGGCTGGTCTGCCCAGCTACACACTTTCTGACCTTTGGGCAGCTAGGGAGAAAATGTTTGCATATTTCTGCTCTCTCTTTAAGCTAACCATTGGGAAGAACAGCAAATTAGGGCAGATGCGCAGAGGAAGTAGGTGAAAGAAATCCCTGAGGTAAATTGGTTGAAAAATTTGAGGGATTCTGCTGAATACTTTGAGGAATTATTTTAATTATATTTAACAGAAGTTACAGAACACACTGCATTCTGTAAGAATTTCAACAAAATTGAAATTCAGTACAATTCTTAATTTCTATCTATATAAATATACATACCGGTAGATTAAAAAACGTGATATTATTCAAGAGTTGTTTAAATCGAATTACAATAGTAAAGAACTACAGGAATCAAAAGAATTTCTCATGAAGAAAACATTTTTTTTCTTTTTGATATCCTTCATTCCTGGGATTACACAGACTCATTCATTCTTAAAACTCAGTCCAACCTACTTTCCTTTTATTTCCTGGTAGCTCCCTAGCTAATCTTCTTAGTCTTGGAGGGATCTGTAAATTTAATCTTCTGTTCTGTCATTAAACAATTTGGCTGGTATCAAATGTCTTTTATAGAGTATATATTTAGATGTTTCCAGAAGGTGGTGCTGAAGGATTACTATTCTGCTTCAAGCCTGTTTCATTATTTTGACTCTCAGGGCTCCATTTAATCCCCCATGCTTTTTAACATCTACATGAAAGAGTGGGAGATGTCATTTTGGCATGTGAGCAGAGATGTCATTGATATGCAAATGACATCAGACATACCTTTCCTTTCATCTAACACAGGAGAACTAGTTGGTGTTTTGAACCAGTGCATGGGCAGGATCAAGGATTGCATGAGAGCCAATAAAAAAAAGATTTAATATAGACAACACATAGATACTTTGTGTCTGTGGATGGCTGTCCTGCAATGGTCCCCACTTGCCCTAAAGGAGCAGTTTAAAGAGGCTCCTAGATCCACCACCGTCATTAAAGGCCCAGATAGATTCTGTGGTATGGAGCATTTGTCACCACCATTACTTAAGCTGATTTACCAGCTGCAAACTTATCTGGGCAGAGACAATTTC